GGTCCAAATCTTCGATTTTAAATGAATTTGAGATTAGAATATACTGAATAACTCTTTTATCAACAACAGCCATATATTTTACTTGATAAAAATACAAAAACGAGGCCACAATACACACTATGGCGGATTTGTTTGAAAACGCGAAAAACAAGAAAATAACGGCAAAAAAAAATCAATTTTTTGTGTGTCTCCGGCTTAAATCCTTCATTTTATACTATAAAAACAATAATATCAGACAATAATTTACTAAAAATCCAGAAAAAGGCTAAAAAAGTAAAAATATCAAATAAAAAAGGAATCCAACAAAAACTCAAGTGTTCTGCATAATGTAACGGTCACTGAAGAAAATAACGGGCGTTATTTCAATGTTTTTACGTTATTCATTGCATTTTTTTTAAAAAACCACCCGATTACCTAAAAATATGTTTGGTTCGTGTAGATTCTGACCGGTTTTGGGTCGGAAATTTGTTTGGAGGTGAGATATGGCTATTAGAACCCAAAAACCGGGGGTAACAGGACCAGAAGGGTCTCGGTTCTGTTCTAACCGGCCTGTTCCGGTTTGAATCTGACTGTTTTTTCCAACAATGATAATAGTTCACGAAAAGGTTAGTTTTGAGTAAAAGTGTCTAAGGCGATGATATCCTTTATCTCTTTGTACATTTCTGTTAGTCATGGATTTTCTCAGTAGACAATTGGATCATGCAATATTGTAAGGTATGCTACCTATGGCTTTTCCTTCAAGTTTTGATTTTGGGATTTCTCATCTCTTTTATACTAATGATGTGGTTATATTCAATGAAGCCTCTAGTAATACTGCGAGTGTCATGGAATCTGATCTTTTAAATTTTGAAAAAGCCACATATTAGAAACTTAATATTACCAAAAGCAAAGCATTTTCCTTTAGTGTTACACAGGTTATCAAACATATGATCTGGAAGGAGCTTGGTTTTGGTGAAGAAACCTTGCCGGTCAGGTATCTGGGCCTTCAACTATACCATGGTAATTTAAAGTACTCTCAATGCCACAGTTTGATTGGCAAGGTGTTTGGCACGATAGGCATGTGGCGGGCATTACCCCTATCTTATTCAGGCAAACTTTAGTTGTTGAAGTCGGTACTCAATCCATTGGCTATCTTCTAGATCATATCTTTCATCGTACCCTGGCATACATGTAATATGGTCAAAAGCTGCAAAGGAATTTTTTTTTAGCAAGCACATCTGCAAAAAAAAATGTCTTCATCGTGTCAAGTGGGAAACTGTATACCTAACTCTTGAGGAGGGGGATCTTGGGGTTCGTGATATTAATGATTTCAATATTGCAGGTATGATGAAATTGGCATGAAAGATTGTAAACAACTCATCCTCTTTGCTAGCACATTTTTTGAAACATATATATTTAAAAAATTAATCTCTCTGGTGGGCTAAAAAAAGGAGATGTTCTTATGCCTGAAAGGGTATTCAGCAAGGATTATCTTATTTGAGGTACAACGTTAGATGGATCATTGGGATGGATGTTCAGTAGAATTTTGGGCAAATGTATAGTTATCAGAGACATCAATTTGGGACTCTTATGGTGCAAATGTTCATAAGGATATTAGTCTCTTTGCTAAAATTAAGGTCTCAAATTATATACAAGGTTCTCCACAATCTTGGAATCTTCCATCTCGTACTCTTGACCATTTAATTAGAATATGAAAGGAGGTGGATGTTTTTACTATCCCGTTGCAGCCACAGAGCAATTTTTTGGTGTGGATTCACTCTTCTAATAGTTTGTGGAATTTTATTCGGCAAGAGGGTATTCTCAACCTATTTTCAAAGCAATATGGTCCTCAAAGTGCTACCCCATAGCCAAGTGCTTCTCTTGGTTGGCTATTCCATCAATGACTTCTAACAAATTCTCTTCTTTTAAAACGTGGGAGCACCCTAGCTTCTATATGCATAACAATGATAACATATGTCATCTTTTGTTTTAGTGTGTTTTCTCGCTGGGTATTTGGAGGTCAGTTGCATGGAGAAGTGGTAAACGATTCATCCCAGGAACACTCATTGCAATCATGCTTAGAAATTGGATTGCTTTTAGATTCAAATCAGATGGTCTTCTTAATATTTGGAGCTCTCTTTTCTTCACTACAGTCTAGTTTCTGGCAATCACAGAATTTTTCAAATGAAGGTATCAAGGAGTGAACAATTGATAAGGAGGGTCACATCTCATGTCTATGAGTTAGCTGACGGTAAAGCCTGGGCCTTCCATATATAAGAAAAGGTAATTATTGAAAATGTATAGATTACATGATGCTAACAGCAATCTAACCCCCTCATTCCAGTTGTATGTTCTTTATCTCATCTCCATCATTTCAAGTTGAATATTGACATGGCCTTTCTACAGAATCCAAGGCCTGCAGGAGGCGTTGTTGTAATAAGATATGGTGATAGCTCCTTTAATGATGCTTTTATCACACCTTTTGGTATTGCATCCAACAACTATGAGGAATTTTATGCCCTTAGAGAGGGCATTGATCTGGTCATTTAGTGCAATTGTTTCCCGTTGTAGATTGAAAGCGATTCCTCCCTGCTAGTCAATGTCACTCAAGGCCAATGTAATCCTCCATGAACACTTCAAACTGTTGTAGTCAAGTGCGGGCATAGCCTTTCAAATTTTGTGTGGCCCATTTCCCATATATATCGTGAGGCCAACATGGTGGCGAAGGCACTTGCCAAAAAAGCTACGACCTTCTTTGGTGCTATGGTTTGGCACACTAGACTACTGAATTTTATTTCCCTTCCTTTACTTCATGACTTGACACAAATCCCCTATTGGAGAGCTGAAAAATTATGATTTGTATTTCTTTCTCTTTATTAATAAAAAATTGGGTAGGGGGCGTTTGTCGCCACTGATTTACCCAAAAAAAGAGAAGCAAGTTACCAAATAATATACATTCAACACAAACAACAAAAAGTCTCAAGTAAAGAACAAAATTATTATCATAGTTTTGACTCCACTGTATACGATAAATACAATTGATTTCGAGAAGAGTATATCAATAGTTTTAATGGAACATTTTGATATCTCATAATGGGAGACATGACATTTGAATTCTCGCATGTGCTTTGTGGTTTTTAGTTTGTTTATACTTCTTCTTATAGGACATCGAGTCATCTGACTTACCTATTGTTGTGAGCCACCTTGATCATGAAACACCGATCTATATCATGAGCATTACGAAATAGTAAATCCACTACAAAGCCAAACTGATGGTGGAGAATTTTTTTAAAAAAACATCAATTTTTATTTTTCAGAAAAAAGAACAGTTTAGATTAATGGTTATCCTCTATAGTTTAGATTAATTTTAGATTTAAAATCAATGTTTAAATAAATTTTGAAGGGGCCTCCATATAAATAGATGAGTTGACTGACTCAGTAAATACTTTTCCTTATTTGTACCACATGCTTCTAAAAACACATATGCAGAGCACATGGATTTTGCTAGTATTTATAACGGGGCAAGCTCGCTATGCTTCCCCATTGCATAAAATTTAAGAAAATTGTTTCATGCGGGCTCCATCGCATTTCTACATATACAGTCCATAAAGTTTAAAGCATCCACCTTAAAGATAGATGCAAGTAGGTGTTCCATCTAAAAACAATAGAAAGTAACGGTCCAAATATTTTCTAACTAGAATTGTTATTTCTAAATTTTAAAATTTATTTATTTTTTCATATTCATGATCTCCATGTTAGAGCTTACACGTCCTTAAAAATTAAGTCTTAAAATTCATCTAAAAAATAGTATTAAAAGGCCTACATTTCTACATAGGTGGGATTGGCCGTATGGAAATTGGGTCCTAAAATTTATATACTTCCCCCTATCGAATCGTTCATTCTGAATGGACGACTGAGATGACTTTAAACACAATGTCACATCTCTACACTATTTTATTTTTAATTTGTTTTTAAAAAATATTTTGACACTAAATTTTGGGCATCCACTTCTCTCTTAATCTCACACATGTAAAAAATATAAAAAAGATATTCCCAATAAAATAAAATGATCAAAATATTTTAAAAATTTCAAGGGATATTTTGGTTATTATATTTTATCGAAAAGTTCTTTTTAATATTTGTTTTAGGTGCGTCCTATTGATAAGATTGCACGTACCAAATTTCATATTCATATAATTTGTAAAAAAGAAAAAAAAAAATACTTGAGGCGTCGGATCTATAGATCAAACTGTTAGTGACTTACTTGATCTAATTTGGATGACTGGATGGGGGGAGTATCATCTTCTATATTGTAAGGGAAGTATAGAAACATTTCTCTTTATAAAGAGCCTCAAACCTAAGGAAAAAATAAAAAAACGAACAAAAAGAAAGAAAGAAGAAGGAAAAAAAAAAAGGAATTGAAAATTTTTATCCTACTTAATTGCCCTAGAAAACCATGGAAATGTTAAAAGCCACATCCATTTACTTTAAAATTAAGTTTCTTTTGTCAGTAAAATTTTCCACTAGGCTAACAAACTGAGATGGTTACTTTTAGAATTGTAGCCCTTACCGCCCATTTCGAGCGACTTTATCCAATACAAAAATAGAAAGTAAAGATTAAATTTGTCCCTCGATGAGCGTCGATGACAGAGTAGCAAGATTAATCCGGCCCACTAAAGAAAATGGTGGTTACCCGTTTTCTACTGACTAGACCGAGTTTGAGTAGGACCTTGCCCAACTATGTTTTGATACTATAACCTTTGCATACTCGGCCAAGTCCCCGACAGTACATATATATGGACAATTCGTACCAGAAACTCTGCACAGTTGGATGACATTGTTTTTTCTGATAAATTTGAAAGGATTAAGAGAAGACGAGTACCGCCTCGGTGCAAGGGTGACACACATAAATCGAAAAATAGTCCAAACTTTTTACATTGAAAAGAAGAGGTATTATCCCTACGAGAAGGGTTAGAACCCTAAAGATGTTAGGGTTTATTTGAAAAGAGAAAGAAAAAGAACTAAAATCTTTGAGAATTGAGTGACATGAGTGGGAGTGAAGAGGAAATGGCAATCCCAGCAATATTTCCACCCTCCATATCACATTGGGGTAAAAAGTTGAATTCCCATTTCTCTCTCATCATATCAAAACACACCCAAACCATGTCCCATTTGCCCTTCAGATTAGACACCAACACTGCCCTAATAACACTTTCTCTCTCCTCCAAACACCCCATCATCACATCATAAACCCTACTTTCTCTCTCTAACATCTCTCTAGGCGCCTGCCCCCTTAATTCCCACCTCTCTCCTCCCAAACCCAGCCCCCAAATCTCAACGTGTGTCATAACCCTGCCACACGTGCCAAAACCCTCCGACTTAACAACCATCATCCACCCATCCCCAAAAACATGAGTTTCATAAACGGAAAATATTTTTCCCTCAAATTTGGGCCGGAGAATGGATGCCATGTCCGATTCCCGGTCAATCGAGACTAAGGTGCTGTGTTCCCCCACGTGCGAAGCACTAAGGATTTCACGTTTTCTTGCCGAAAAGTTCCCGAAAGGCTTGGCGATAATAACACGCCACGATTCAGTTTCGGAATTGTAAACGAAAACAACGGGTTGGCCCCCGATACTTTCGGCGAAAAGAAATTCAAACGAGGAGGTCCCCGCCACCATCGTAAGGCCATAGCGCCGCCACGTACACGTCCGACGAGGGCCTAGTGGGCCCGCCGGGATCTTTTTCACGGCGCCGGACACCAAATTGCCTGCGACTAATTCGCCTCCTCTATTTAGGGCAAAGAGCACAAACCCTTTCGAAGCGGCCAACAGATAGAGGTCCTCGCCCGAATTTATCGCCGAGGCAAATATTCCGGCGATCGGGATCTTGAACCAGCGTCGGCACATGTCGCTGTAAGCGAGGATGGATGAGGTTTTGAGCGGTTTCTTCTTGTAAAGATAGAGCCAGTTTTCTTGCGACGTTTTGTCGTATAATGATCGGAACTCTTGGCCGGAAATTTCTCCGGCTAAGCATTTACAGGTGGAGCGGGTGATTAAGAGGTCAGAAAAGGGCAGGCGGAGAAGGATGGATTGCAGAATTTCGCCCGGAATCTGGCAGATTTCGCTGGAATTTTCGTCTGCACTAGGAGGATGTGGCCAGAATTTTAGCCTGCAATTGGATGATTCGAACGGAATGTGGCAGAACGGACCGGAATTTTGGTCGGATTCCATTTCTTTCCGGCCATGCCGTTGGATGGGGAGAGAGCGTTTTATACATGTTCACCATTTGGCTGTTACATATGAATTTTGGCAATGTTTAATCAAGAAAATATAATTTAATGTCATCATTATGTAACATGGCATGGTGAAACACCCTTATTCGTTACAAAAATATCTGAAATGCCACCACCCTAAGAAAATGCTAGTTACAGGAACAGGATCGGCAGGTCAAACCAGTCCTCAGTTGAACAAAATAGATCCAACTAAAAAGTTCAAAAGGGAAAAATTGTGCAGAAGTTGAAAAATTATAAAAATAGACGAAAACTAGGCAAGTCCAACTGCTTTTTGACTGCGACTGGACTCCAAATGTTTTTGTTTGAACAAACAATCGGATCCACTTTTTCAAATATTGATTTATGTTAACTAAAAATTATAAAATATACAGATTAAATGAGGTTAGTTAGCATCCCACCCATGCTAAATAAACATTGTACAACGTGTGATATCGACAGTATGCAAATTAGAGATCAAACAGGTTGAGATGTGTGTACATTAGAGATATAAACAGTTGCGATGAACATATGGATGGACTTGAATAGGGGAGATTTCATCCTAGTGAACTCCATTAGTGATTTTTTAATGAATTTAAGTTTTATTAGCATCCCACACGTGTGGGACAAGGCCGAGATGATCGAATTGAAAGTTTTCTAACACTAGAACCGCAATTTTTGTGAGTTTTGAGGTGAGGCTTTACTTGTTTTGTTAAGGCAGCAACCCTATCAAAACATTTTCCTTCATTTCTACCTTTCTTATTTTTGAGGGGTGCTTTTTAACATTTTCACAAAAAACAAGGGTATACTTTAAGATGTATTATTGTAATATCTTATTTTGGCTGGAGTAATGAGGGTGGCTGAGTGTTTTATGACGCATTTTTGTCCTTTAGAAACAAAATGCTCAACAAATGGGCGTCAAATATTATTTTATTAAGACTAAGGTAATTTATTTACTCACGCATGCTTGGTGTCAGTGCGCCGGCCTAATTTTGACTTTAACATTGGAATTGTATAGCGTGAAGCCTCAGCCTCATGAGTCCACCTAGAATTTTTATGAATTTAGGATATAAAATAGGTGTGGTTTTTATAAGGGGTCAACCTTAATCAATTCAAGTAAGGCGCACCAATAAACTCGTGTTAAATTTTTTAATGATGACCTAAAAATCTACTTCAAATCTAAACATGAAATTTAAAAGTTAAAAAATGGTAGAAATCAGATCTACAAACGAATGAATATCTCGTGAACGCACGACCTAGATAATATATATTTTTTTGGAATTTAAAAAAATCATTTTTTTTTTTCTACATCTATAGATTTCAAGATCAAGATGATCAATTTAAAAAGTCGGGCAGAGTTAGAACAACTTTTATCGATAGATTTTTGAAGTGTGCCTTCTACATTATAAAGTTCCAACTGTATATGAACTCTTTCTAATAAAATGCATTTAAAAATATGATTTCTCTATAGGTCAACTTTTTGCTGCTCCAAAACTGGTGCATCTGAAGATTGTAGAGAAATAAAATGCATTGTAAAAAGGAGTTCAACAAATACTATCATTGTAGAAACGAAAAACAATCTACAAGACAAAAAAGAAGAAAACCAATATAAAAAAAAAGAGACAACCAACCACAATGCAATATATACTTGGTTCGACAACGTGCCTATATCCACGGGAGATGAGAGCTTTTTTATTGATAATGGATAATAGGGTTACAATAGTTCTCTTCCTCACATCTCTCTGTTCTCTTTGACTACAAAGAAATCTGCTTTTTTTTTTTAACCCAAAAAAAACAACCATTCCCACAATATATATCTAGTTTTAGATAGATAATATAAATTACAAAAATACCCTTATATAATTACCAAAATACCCCTCGACCCTCCTAACTTTTAACGGCTATCCGGAGTTGTCCTTTTGACTGTACCTTGACAGATCTATTTCTTCAAAATACAAGACATCAATTCTTAACAATCATAAATTTAAACATTTATTTATTTTTCAAGATTCGTGAACTTCATGAACTACATCATTGACCCCTGAAGTTTTGGAGCCAAAGAAAGAGATTTTGGAGAGAGTACACATATTAAACAAATGTTTCGGCTCACGTACCAAAACGGCGCCCTTAGAAATTTGCAGTATTAATCATTAAGTCTAAAATTTCAATATAAACCATAAATTAAGGGAAATTGTTTCATGAGCTAGTGGGCACAGGAACCCACTGACTTACAAACGTCCAAGGGAAATTGTTTCATGAGTTAGTGGGCACAGGAGGGAAATTGTTTCATGAGTTAGTGGGCACAGGAACCCACTGACTTACAAACGTCTATCCTGAAGATGGATGTTACGTATTGTCCATACCAATGGTTTAAAAATCGGATCGGTGATTCGGATCGGGCTTTTCAAAAACCGATCTGGATCGGCGAATCGGCGATCCGGATCTGTTATCCGGATCGGAATCGGGTGCATCGGTCAGAATAAAGCTTCAAAAAAATCCGAAAAAATTATTAAAATTCATTATAAATATTGGTTTTTAGGAATTCAATAAAAAATGAGGGTACTCCATTAAGAATTTTCATGTTTTTGAATGAAGATGCGAATATTGATATGTTCTTTCCCTGCATGAACCGCCATTCAGCATTTAATTTACAGTATTTCGTGCTCATCCCTACACTGTTGCTGTTGGGACTCGATATGTGAATTATATGGCTGGGATAGGGTGGCCTCAAAATCATCATCTCTCTCGTTTTCTCTTTGAATAATATGGATTAAAAAAAAAA